CTATAATCTTAAAAGTATACATTGAAGCTTAAATAAGAGTTTGAATGGATAAAATTAAAAGACATAAAGGTGTCATACTCCAAATAGTAACTATAGGGGAAAATTTGTTTAATGAGAAAAGATAATATCAAATTGCAGACAAAAGTATAAATATAATGATTTGAATTGAGATAATTAAAATAAAGTTGAGAAAATTAAGAGGGGAAAAATTATGTAGAAAATATAAAACAGTAATAAGATATGGAATAGAACATAAAAATGAGCATGAAGTTGAGTTTGTGTCTGCATGAAGTGATAACCTGGGACCATGCTATTTCCCAAAAAGATGTTTTATTTGTATTTTGTTTTTGTGAAAACCCAAATAAAATTTTCAAAAAGAAAAAAAAGGGATCATGTGACACGCCCCCCCCCCCCCCCGATTACTGCAACTGTCATAAATATGAGTCAGTTGCCAAGTGGTCAAATTTTGATCTCATGACCATGGGGATGCTATAGTGGTTGTGTGAAAAAGTCATAAGTCACTTTTTCAGTGCCATTGTAAATTCAGTCACCAAACAGTTTTAAGTCAAGGATTACTTGAATAGTACATACTTCACATTAGCAAAGGCTTGAGTACAGAATTAACAGGGGTGGGTTTCTACCAGTTCTGTCCACCTCTGTAGAACTGGTAGCTTTGAAGAGCAGCAGACATAGAACCGGTTCTATGTCTGCTGATGTTTTTGCCCACCCACCCAGGCTTTTACCTGACCTTTATTTCCTGCTTTTTCAACTTCAGCTGCCGTGCGAGGCACAGCTGCAGTTAAAAAAGCAGGAAAAAAGTACTTTTTCAAAGGCTGCTTCTCTGCACGCAGTACTGCTCAGCTGTCCAGGCACCAGGCTGATGATGATTTACAGGCGCGTGAGTGCAATGTGCAGGGAAGCACATCGTAAATCACCGAACCTCGTAAATCACTGAACCGGTAGTTAACCCTGTCAGATCCCACCCCTGAGTATTAGTATACAGTCAGGAGTGGGATTCTCTTTCTCCCAGTGTAACAGCTGATTTGCTAATCACGCGTGTGCACAGCTTTCAAAATTACTTACCTTCAATGTTACTTCAGGGAAGTAACACAGCCGTGCGAATCAGTTGAGCAGATTTAAGTGAGTACAGTGCAGGGGCAGACGGGTGGGTGGGCACACATGATGGTCAGATCGAACCGGTTTGGAACCAGCTACTCATCGCAGCTAGGGGTTTGCATGAACTAGTCCAAACTGGGAGAATCCTATCCCTCTATACAGTACAGTACATTATATAGATGTACAGATTACGGATGTAATCTGGCTTCACACATTATACTAAGTTATGAATTGTTGAATAGGTGGGATTCAGATCAGTGGTGAGATTCAAAAAGTTTTACCACTGGTTCAGTGGGCGTGGCTTGGTGGACGCGCTTTGCGTGCATGCACACTTTGCATGTGTGCGCACACCAAACGCACACTTTGCACAGGGGCAGAGGCATTCCAACTCAGCTCCTGCAAGCCTGCACTCTCCCAGTCGCTTCAGCAGCTGCCGCGCAGCACTCTGCTGTGCCACACAAAGTAGCTGTGTTTCAAAAACAGAGGATAAAGGTGAGTATGGGAGCCAAGGTGGGCAGGTGGGCCCAACAGCAGAGTGGCAGAGAACCAGTTTTGGTCTCCGCTGCTCATTGGTGATACTGGCTTGGCAGAACCAGGCTAAACCGGTAGAATACCACCACTGATTCAGATATTTCAGTGACGTAGTGAAGAAATTGGAATTGGTTTGAAAGTTTATATGGGACTTTCACTTTCATTAGCATCCTTCAGATCCTAAGGATCTGGGGATGAGGCAAGGGGTATTGCACCATGATACATATGACACGATTTTGAAATCATTGTAGGTTTTACCAAATCTACCAATACTCAAATTCCTTGACACCTTTTGCAACACATTCTGGGTGGAGAAGTTCCAACACACCTGAAGGCATGCAGAGGATTTCTTGATAGAGCATTCATAGCGAAGAATGTTTCTTATCCCATTGAGTGTGTGAGGAAATGGAGATGACAGAAGTGTTGTTGTCCTGAAAGCCACGGATATCACAACAGACACACTTCCTTGTTTCTTTTTCAGACCATGAGAGTCTTCGATTTGTCAGTGAAGCACGGCGACTGCATCAAACTGAAGGGGAAAATACATAATGGAGCCAAGAGGTCTGTATGACTAATTGGCTTTAGGCAGGACTGAAATGACATTAGTCCTTTTCTGGCTTTGGGCAGATTTAAAAGTCTTCCTTTTGCACTTCTGTTGCTCACATAAATATTAATGCAGTGTTTTCATTGGCAGTGAGCTTCAGAAATTCGGTTTGCAAACAAAATATCTTAAATTACCAACATAAAATGACTTTGAAATGACCAAAGCTGGATTCCAGCACCTTGACAGGCAACATGGCTTGCTGGCGTGGAGATGGATAATGAGCCACCTCAACCTTTTTTCAACTACACAGCCTTTTTAAATATTCCCAGATTTGCCCAAAGTCATTTCTATTGTCCAAATCCCAGCAAGCATGGTATATGGGGGTGGGGAATGTGGTTGGGATGAGCTGATCAAAGTGATTGGGTTCACACACAGTGTTCTAATTTGGTGAATAAACTGCAAATACCAAAAATACGGGTAGATCTTCAGCACAAAGTTACCCCCTAAATTAATGTTGGCCCTATCCATTGAAATCCACACTGAAATTTCTGAAGTTGGGTTAAGAAACAGCTAGTAGTACAGTGTTTTTCAACTTGAATAATTTTAAAAGAAATGGATGTCAACACTCAGTATTTGAAAATCATATCCTGGAATTCAGCCGACTGGGGAATTCTGGAGGAATTGAAATCCATATTTCTTAACATACAGCGGCAACAATTTTTGGGTGCCAGAGACTGGTTACATGGAGAGGAGTTTTTTTGTGGATCAGAGGGTAGGGCAGTGATGGCGAACCTTTTTGTTGTGGAGTGCCAAAAGCACATGCATGCCGACACCCACAATGCAATGCCCCGTCCCCTGCGCATGTGCATGCAACACCCCCGCCCTGCACATGTGTGTGCAACACCTTACCTGCACTGTGCATGTGTGCGCCTCCCAGCTTATTTTCAGCCCATTTGAGGCTGTTTTCACCCTCCCAGAGGCTCAAGGAAAGCCTCTGGAGCCTCGGGAGGCTGAAAACAGGCTCATTTTGGCACTTCTGGAAGGTCTGTTTTTTGGCCTCCCGAGGCTGCAGAAGCTACCCTTGAGCCTCTGGGAGGGAGGAAATGGCCTCCCCCAGATTCCAGAGGCCCTCCAGAGGCTGAAAATGGACAATTCCAGTGTTTCTGGAAGGTCCGTTTTTTGGCCTCCCAAGCCTGCAGAGCCTCTGGGAGGCCAAAAATCAACATGTGCAGTGCAGGTAAGTTTGGCTGGGGCTTGCGTGCTCGCACAAATGGCTCTGCGGGCCACCTGTGGCACGCATGTCATAGGTTCGCCATCATGGGGGTAGGGGGTGGTTTTGCACATTGCTTGCATCCCATGTGTGTGTGCAGATGGGAATTCAATCATGCGGCCTGGTTCCTAACAGCCTGCAGACTGATATCAGTCTACAGCCCCATGTTAACAGGGTTGGGGACCCCTGTTAACATAGGACAAGCAGCCTACACTCCTGGGCAGAATTGCCCTTGGAAGATTCCCTCAGAGCAAACCTCACTTTCAGCGTAACTAGTTATGAAGACTTGCTATCAGCAAAATAATAGGGAAGCAATATCGATGACTAAAGCTGGGCTTCCCTGTCCACCCTTCTGTCTTTACCATAGTAAGCTTCTCTCATATTCAAATCAATTCTTCTTCTTCTTCAACCCAGACATAGCCAATTCATGATCTTCAGACATTACAATACATTCATTCCTATTTCTATGCCCCGTTTAATGGCAGATCCAGACATCCTGCTATGCCCATCAGTAATACGCTCCCTATCTCCTAAATGCAGAAAAAGATGCCCTTCTTCAGATCACTGCAAAGTTACTTCCCACTTCCCCTGCCCCAGTTTAATTTTCTAGCTCTGATTCAAAATGGCTGCTTTCCAACTCGAACCATTTTAAGACCTTCAGGATGGATAGAGTGTAGCAGAAGTGGTATTCAGCAGGTTCAGACCAGTTCTTGAGAACCGGTAGTGGACATTTTGAGTAGTTCAGAGAACCGGCAAATCCCAGCTCTGACTGGAGATTTTACTGTATCCTTTCCCTGTCATGCCCACCAAGCCACGCCCACAGAACCGCTTGTAAAAAAATTAATGAATCCCACCACTGGTGTGTAGGACTTCCTTCTGGCTGAGTTTCAGTTGCAGCTTCAATTGGCTGCCATCAGGTTCTAAAAAACAACAGACACACTAAACATATAATCTGAGAACTCCTATGGAGGAGCTTTCTTGACTTTTTTTCTCCCACATGCTAAACTTTGCTGCCCTTTGCTCTTCTGGAATACACTTCCTTCCTCCTGGGAATCTGGACTACATTCCACCACAGCTCCAGGGCTTCCAACTTCCCTTCCCTCCAGTAGTTGGTCACTGCCCTCAGTAGCCATTTTGTGCTGGGTTGCTCTGTTCTCTACTACTTTGAAAAAAAAAAGTGCATTTAATAATGCCCATTAAATCAACTAACTTTCCCTACCAATGATTCTCGACCCTGTCTAAAAGCTCTATTCAGCATCCACAGTGGGCATTTTTTCAAGTTTAAGGCCAGAAATTCGGTCCCAATATTTCCCGCTCATTTTGCAATTAAGAAGTTGATGCAATGCAGTTTTGATGCTTCAAAGGTTTGTTAGTCAAAATCCTGATGAATCCTGTGCGCTTGAGGCATACTAGAGTTTGCTGCAATGAAATTATGATGCTTCAAAAGCAAATGAAAAAAAAAGTTAAGGGGATTATATTGGGGTCAAGTGAGAGAATGCAGGAAGAAAAACATGCAGGGACCCCATCAGGAAAACACAAGGAAGCCAGTAAGAAGAGAACATTTCCTAGAAGGAAAAGAAGATATCAACCCCAAGCTTGCCTTCTCTACATGAATGGGAAAGGCAAAAAATAGGGAAAGAACCAGAGGTGGTATTCAGCCCGTTCTTACCAGTTCTGAAGAACCGGTAGAGGAAATTTTGAGTAGTTCGGAGAACTGGCAAATACCACCTCTGACTGGCCCCACCCCCATCTATTCTCTGTCTCCTGAGTCCCAGCTGATCGGCTGGGTCTTCTTTTGTTGCCCTGCACAGGAGAACGGAGCTGGAAAGCAAGTTAGTGGGGTGGGGAGGGAATGGGGATTTTGCAGTAACCTTCCGCCTGGAGTGGGGTGGAAATAGAGATTTTTACAGGATCCTTCCCCTGCCATGCCCACCAAGCCACGCCCACAGAACCGGTATTTTAAAAAATTTGAATCCCACCACTGGATCGAACAAATCAAACCTTGTAATGGCCAAAGTCCAGACTGAGCACCAGCTGCCAGACCACTGAAAATGGGACTGCGTTTTTTTAAAAAATTGGCTTAAGAAAGTTGTGTTTAATGTGTCTCCTTCCCCTTTGTTAGTTTTGCCCTCAACTTAGGTCAGGATGATTCAAATCTGGCCATTCACTTCAATGCTCGCTTTGAAGCCCTTGGAGATGTCAAACAGATTGTGTGCAATTCCAGATCAAATGGCCAGTGGGGTGCAGAAGTACGGCCGTCGATATTCCCGTTCCAGGAAGGAGCTGAAATCAAGGTCAGGAAGAACGTTAAGGCACTGAAGTGTCAGTTCATAAGATGTGGGGTCTCTTTAAAAAAAATGTGGTTGGATGCTCAACAGTTACAGATACAGATAATCAGAGTTGGAAGGGACCTTATAGGTCATCTAGTCCACTACCACCCCGCCCAAGCAGGAGACCCTACACCATTTCTGTCAAATGGCAGTCCAATCTCTTTTTGAAAGTCTCAAAGTTATCCTTTCACTGAACCTTCACCGGATCTTCCTGGCCTGCCCCACGTGAAATGCCACCGGGGGGAACCATGTTGGAAAAAATATTAGTTGCTGCTACTCACTCACTTTCTCAGTCCCCCTTTTCTTCCTAGGGGACTCTGAGGTTGGATCCACAGCTTAGGTTAAAATAAAGTTGAATGGCAATAGCAATTGGACTTATATACTGCTTCACAGTCCTCTCTAAGCTGTCATGACATTGCCCCCAACAATCTGGGTCCTCCTTTTACCAACCTCAGAAGGATGGAAGGCTGAGTCAACCTTGAGCCGGTCAGGATCGCACTGCTGGCAATGGGCAGAGTTAGCCTGCAATGCTGCATTCTAACCACTGAGATACCACGGCTCTTCATAATGCCCCATTTTACAACGTTGTCACAATTGTTAAAAGAACTGCTGCAGGTGTTCCGTTAGTAACACAGTTGTAAAATGAATCTGGTGTCCCTGTTAACTTCATTTGTCAGAAGCTTACAAAAGTTGATCGCATGACCCCGGGACACTGCAACCGTCATCAATATGAGCCAGTTGCCAAGCGTCCAAATTTCAATCACGTGACCATGGGGATGCTGCAATAATCGTAAGCAATGGTGGGGTGCAACCACTTTAATAACTAGTTCTATGAGTGTGCGCTTCACCTAATGTGGGCTTTGTGCACGTACACAGAGTTGAAAAGCCACCAATTTTAAGCTTAAAAACTTACCTTCTATGTCAGCACTAGTGAGTAAAACAGCTGAGGCAAAGATTGCTGAACAGATTGCCGTGCGAATCAGGTGAGCTAAAAAGCAAGGACATATAGATAGATAAATACTTTATAGGCCAAGTGTGATTGGACATACAAGGAATTTGTTTTGGTGTAAATACTCTCAGTATACACAAAAGAAAAGATACATTCTTCAGGAGTCAAGAATCATAAGGTACGACACTTAATGATAGTCATAGGGTACAATAAGCAATCAATCATACTAGGAAATAGTCAATATAAATTGTAAGGATACAAGCGACAAAGTTACAGTCATACAGTCACAAGTGGGTGATAAGGAGTGATGACAAGATTAACAGTAATAGTAGTGCAGACTTTGTAATAGTTGAAAAGGGTTGAGGGAATTATTTGTTTAGCAGAGTGATGGCTTTCGAGAAAAAACTGTTCTTGTGTCTAGTTGTTCTGGTGTGCAATGCTCTATAGGACAGGAAAGGGTGGACAGGTGGGGGAGCAACCGCTCACTGGAGCTACTGGTTCTCTAGAACCTGTGCAAACTGGCAGCAGTCCACCACTGGTTGTAAGTGCGAAAAGTGATCCTATGTTAGTTACTTTTTCCAGTGCTGTTGTAACTTTGGACACTACATGAATGGTTGTAAGTCAAAGGCTGTCGGGATTCCAGCAACCACTCTAATTAAATCATGATTCTCGAGCCAAACTTCAAAAAACTTCAAAAGATTCATTAGAGGCGACATACTGGCATTGCCCTGCATGAAGCCAACTCTGGCATACGTAATTCACAGTCACCTGTGACCCTATTTCCCCCCTCCCCTCTGGGTGCCTCCTAAACCAGATTCTTCCATTGAGCACCACAACAGGCTGGGTGTCATCATCCACATTCTCCAATTAAATATATTCACGGGCAAAAACTCGGGTATTTTAGTTACAATCTTTTAAAGATAAGAGTTGGAATGTACTTTCGCTTTCCCCCCCTTTTTATGGCAACTACTAAAATAGGCATAGGAATGTTTTATGAGTTGACAGACTACTTTTATATTTATTCCCATAATTAGAGCAATTAATGGATTATGTATTTGGTCATCCATAGGCAAAAATCTATATACATTTGAAATATATGGAGTGGGGTTTGCTCTGCCTCCAAACCTAACTTACCTTTATTTAGGCCAAAATTATTGATGGGTAGAGGAAGAATCTGGAGTTTCACTTCCTGTGGCTCATCAAGGAATTAACTCGCTGGCCTATTCTTAACAGATGTGCCTCAGCTACCAAAGTGGGGAGATAAAGGTGAAGATCGATGGACAGGAAATCAGCTTCCCCAATCGTCTTGGCCTGAATTCTGCCCAGTACTTCTCAGTGGATGGAGACATCAGTATTCTGTCTTTCAAGTTTTGATGAAACATAGTCACACTCCCACCCTGTGGATTTCTTGAATAAGATACAAAAAAGGCAAATAAATAAGTCATTTGACTTCTGTCTCAGTTTCTTTTTTACTTCTTTTGAAATAATAGAAAAGAAATAATACATTAATGTAGTTATCTTAAAAATGCATACATTGTCAAAAAGTAAAAAAGGGAATGCTTTTAAAGTGAAAAAAATACAACGGAAAAGAAAAATGTATTGTAACAATAAACTTATTTTCTAAATATACATATGTAATTCAAATAAAGTCTATGTATTTCTAAATATAAACATACATATATATGTATATGTGTGTCTGTATACATATACACACAAACACACATATATATGTTTTCTTAAGTTTTCGCGGGTACTTACATGTATGGTATTCAGCTTTGTATATATGTATGTATGTATGTATGTATGTGTGTGTGTGAGTTTTCTGAGGTTTTCGCGGGTATTTGTATGTGGATCTTTGGTTATTTGGGTTTTCTCCTGTGTAAAATTGGATATCTAGGGTCTCATTCATCATCTTCAGAAGCACAAAGCTGAATCCCAAGAAGCTAAATCATCTTGTTTATTCATGCTGTGTGGGCATTTTTCTATCTCTATGGCTTCTCTGATTATTCTGTTGTTGAACTGTTTGGTTATATACACACACACGCACATATATATATACATATATACACGTATACAGGGTATGTCTTTGTATATATGTATGCGTGTATCTATATCTATCTCATCTATATTATCTCTATCGATCTATCTATCATTGATATCAGGGCTCACCAACCTTTTGGACCTCAGGGACCACCAAACTCAAAATTTTAAATCCCAGGGACCACTAACTGGTTCTGTGGGCATGGCCTAATTTGTGGGTGTGGCTTGATGGTCATGTGTGGCTGGGCATGGCTTGTATATAAGTATTCTAAATATTTATATAAATATTGAATTTTTTATTTTGAAAAAGGAGCAATTTTTACCCAAAATCAGGCAAAGCAGGGAGGCAGATTGAGTTACTCACAGAATCACAGATTCATTCAGAGATCTATCTATCTGCCATCGGCTAGCTCAGTCTGTCACATAAAATTTGCTAGCAAGCAAACTCACAAAATTAACTCATAACACACCATGTATGTAAATATTGAATTTTTATAAAAAAAGAGCAACTTTTACCCAAAAGCAGGCAAAGCAGGCAGGCAAATTGAGTTGCTCACAGAATCATTCAGTGATCTATCTATTTGTCATCGACTACCTGAGTCTGTCACATAAAATTTGTTTGCTGTGAGTCTGCATTGAATATAGAACCTTCAGTCCTAAGGGAGGTTCGGCTGTGCTTAAAAGCAGAGCTGAAGATCTAAAGACTAGCTAGAAAGCAAGAAATCCAACTATTTCCTGCTTCCTAGCTAATCTAAATCTCCTGGCACAGCAGACCAACTGATAGTCAGGGGGAAAAAAAAGGAAAAATAGCAACTTAGCAGGCAAGTTTGCCAGGTATGGAGTGAGTGGGCGGGGAGGGTTCCTGCAAGCCATGTGGGCGGCGCAGCCTTGTGTTTCTGCACACTGGATTAATTGCTTTGGGGGATGCTCTGTGGGTGACATTTCTCTGCGCACCACCAAAATTTTGGTGGCAACCACTGATCTAATCTCTATCTATCAGATTTTAAAACAGATTTTTTAAAACAGATTTTATCTATCTATCTATCTATCTATCTATCTATCTATCTATCATCTATCATCTATCATCTATTTATCTATATTCAATATTGCAAAATCAGTCTTTTGGCCACAGTAAGGACACACAGAATTCATTTACTTTATCTAGTTGTCAAATCCAATGCACCACACATATAGCTCAAGAGAAAACTGAAAATGTTATTTCTTCATTTGTATCCTACCTTTATTACTTTTACAAACAACTTAAGGCAATGAACAGATTTTACATATCTTCCTCCTCCTATTTTCCCTACAACAACAACCCTGTCAGGTGGGTTGGGATGAGAGAAAATGACTGGCCCAAAGTCACCTAGCTGCTGTTCATGGCTAATGTGGGACTTGAACTTAGTCTCCTGCTGTATAGTCTGGCACCTTAACCACTAGACCAAACTATCTTGTTTTAATCTTTTGTCACTCAATCAAATTTATATAATCCACCACTTTTTCCACAAATCTAGCAACTATAGGACATTGTAAATACAGGTGTTTGAAAGAAGCATTATCCTTATTACATTTCCAGCAAAATGTTGCTGCTGAAAATCCTTTTTTATATATACCAAACAAAGTCCAATAAATTCTAAATATGATTTTATTTTGTTCTATAAGTCATAATTTAGGACCCACTGATACTCTTATTACAGGTATCCTCAATTTATCATCACAACTGGTGCCAGAATCTCGGTCATTGAGCAAAGCGATTGTTAAGCAATTGTGCAAGGGTGCCAGGCCAGGGAGGGGGAGGTCCCCTGAGGCCTGAAAACTGTCACAAACTTGTAGGCCTTTGTTGACTACAGGGTCCACTGAAGACCTTGTAGGATGAACTTTGCAATATTTGAAATATTGAAGGTCTCAGGTTAGAATTGGGGAAGTTTGTTAAAGGAATAGCCAAGGAAGAAAGTTGCAGCCTAGATGAGTGTAACAACACCAATAACCAATGGCAACAAGAAAGATATAAAAGTTAGAAAGACGCTATTAGAAGGATGCTAGCTAAGGCACATAGATATAAACTTTGCTGACTCTAGAGCCATGGTGGCACAGTGATTAGAATGCAATACTGCAGGCTACTTCTGCTAACTGCCATCTGCCAGCAATTTGGCAGTTCGAATCTCTCTAGGCTCAAGGTTGACTCAGCCTTCCATCCTTCCAAGGTCAGTAAAATGAGGACCCAGATTGTTTGGGGGCAATAGGCTGACTCTGTAAAACCGCTTAGGCAGTAATGCAATGTGAAGTGGTATATAAGTCTAAGTGCCATTGCTATTGCTGTTGCTTATAGAAACTAGGACTTGGCCAAGGTAAAAATGTGTAAAGATGTACTCTTTATTAGTCCTATGTTGGAAATACTTTAATGGACAGAATGCTAAAATGTACAGTATTATAAATAAAAATGCATATTACTGCTCCTTATTTCCCTAGCCCTCGGAGATCAAAGTGGTGCACAGGGGATTATATTTATCCATTTTTGATGCTTTTCTATGTACAAAATGGTTCCTATTGATTTTATAGCCAAATACTGATCTGATGGATACCTGTATGGTTTAGAGCTTAGAAAGTTGGTCTATGAAGCCATCAGATGATTGTCTTGATTTTCATAAAGTAAATTGGATGCAAATCAACCCTTCCTATTTGCAGGCAAATTTTTATTTTGAAAGCCAAATTCAACATTAATGAACCTTTACCTTTATTTGTACAGTATAATCATCAGAGACTGCCATCTACTGGGAAGATTTTAGATCTGTGATCAATCAAAAAGCTCCCCCCACCCCCAAATGATCAAATCTGCAAAAAAAGCAGAGAATATAACTATGTCTTAAAACATTAATACAGAAGAATATGCAAAGTGTATTCTCAGGATGGTTTAAAGTAAAACATTTATTACTTCTGACCATTAGCCAGATCTGTACGACCTAATTTGATTGATTGCTTTTATAGCTTGTCTTTCCTGCAGAAGTAAAATATCTCAAACACCCCTTTATTTTTATACTAACAGTTAATTGGGTACAATATATTAAGCTGCAAGATATTCTCTTCCTCTTTCTCAGATTTATATTTTCTTCCCCCTTCCTATCAGTTCAGTGTGATTACACTGCAATCTCTTTTATTTTATTCCCATAAAAGTAAATGTGTGAAATTATGGACAAAGACTGCATGACCAAAATCACCCAGTAAGTTGCTACAGATACTCCTTATGACTACAATTGAGCTTAAAATTTGTGATGCAAAGCAAGACAGTGGTTAAGTGAATTATGTTGTCTGACACTATAAAGGTGCTCATAAGTCAATCAATAAACCAGAAAGAGAGGAAGGCTTTAAAGCCTTCTAGTGTGCTGAAATATAAAATGAATTGTGTAGGATTCTCAACTTCGGAACTTTTTTTAGCTGTTATGCTATTACACGCTGTATTAGAGAAAAGGGGAAATATTGTACATTATTACACATTAATTTAAATTAATGATATATTAATTATGATCTATTATATAATAAGGTGTGTATCCTGTGTGGATCTCACTTATGTTAGGTTGTTTTACAACTGTAGTTCAACACTATGTAATCTTTAGTGTACTTTACAACCGCAATAAACTGGAATGGAATAAATCTATCAGTACTGTAAAATGCTGTTCACACAATGCAGCTGCTTGCATTTGCACAAAAATGCATGTACATCCTCAAGACTCTAACCGTCTCTAAGAATCTCCGAGATCCACCTGCAAAATCCGGCAACACCAGCTCATTGCGAATCTTACAACACTTGGTATTCGTCCAGTTCCAAATGGAACTGAGCATGTGCCCCATGTGCCGGTTAGCATTGGCTGATAGACGGAAAAGACGTGTGATACGTACGGGGAGTTATAGAGGCGGAGAGAGGAAACAATGGTCGCCCGCTGGAATTTCTCTTCTCTAGGAAGACGCGCTCTTTTATTTTAACCCTTCGAATGACCAGTCCATTGTGAAAAGGGGAAGCGCTGAGAAATGGTCCAAAGTATAAAGTCCCGGTGTGTGTTTTGCTCTCAGAACAAGAGAAGATTTAGTTAACATTTAGTTAAAGGCGAATATTTAAAGGGAATCTGAATGGTGGGAGAGAGCCTGGGGGGTGGGGGGGGGGGGGGGGAGAAATCTTCTAAGTTCTCTTTTCCTGTGTGGTACAAGAAAGAAAAACGCACAGTGCACAAGTTAAAATCTGCACACGCAGTTCCATAGAAGGGAGAGAATTCCTCCTTTTCTTAGAAAAATAGGGAGAGATCTGGTCTTTGCGAGGAGGAGGGGCATACTTTTCCCATGCAAAGCCCCAGCGAGCAAGAAAGGGGAGAGGATGCTCCTTCTGACCATGGATGGACAGCCTAC